ACCGTTGCTTGCTGCGATGTCGATTGCAGTTCCACTCAGTTTCTTGATGCTGAGGCTAGTGGACCTGTGCCGTGAAACCACCTGAAGTTAGCGATGGCTCGATGGCAAACAAAACGTCAAGACAACAAGTCAAGTAGAGGACATACCCATCAATCTCGCTTCCATGCATCACTTCTCCTGCCTTTGTCGATTGTATTTCGTCGGGTTTGGAAGTCGACAATCTTGGATCTGTCAGTGCAGAAGGTGTTGATGGTCGTTTCAAGTTGCTGCAACACCGTACCGGACGAGGTTTGCGAGGCCCGTCCTAGGGCAGCTGCAAAGTCAAGACACACGGCAGGCAATAAGGCCGATCGAGTGTGTTTCCATCCCAATATGTAGTAACTCAATTCAACTTTGCCGTCGAAGATTGTTGACGGGCAGTTGCGATCGAATTCCGGTTCCTTTGAGTTGCTCCAAGTGCAAAAAGTTTGGCCAGCCTGTGACACCGCCTGAAGTTAGTGAGGCCTCACCGTGATCTCTACCAACGACAGGACACGGTCAAGGAAGAGACATACCAAATCGAAACATCCACCCAGTTCCAGTCATTGTCCCATGCAGTTGTATCCCACCTCGACTCGCGTCGAAGATTGTGGACCCTTGGTGCAATGTCGGTTATTGGCGAAGTTCCAGGAAGTTCCGTTGCAGCCGATGTTCCTGAAATTCGTGAAGTCAGTTATGATTCCGCCGCGAAAGGCAACCACAAAGTCAAAGATAGGCAGAACAAACCCAGCAAAACCCCATAGCAATACCACCTCCAGCTTCCATTTGCATGCTGAACACTTGTCCATTAACTACCAGTTTCCCGATGCTGTGCCCCCGATGCTGTGCTTGGATGACCGTTGCTGTATCACCACTTGGAGTTACTAGCGAAGGTTCGGTGAACTGACCAAGAAGGCCATGACAACCGTCATCATCGAGAGTCTTACCTATCAAACGAGTTTCTCTTCCAGTGCCTTCAGCGACTGAAGCTCATGTAAAAGAAGTCTGCCGATAGCTATTCACTGCCCCTTTCGGGGAGTCTTTGTCGGCTTTTGTTTGCTTTGTCGTCCTCGGATCATGATCGATTCCTCGCTCGCTTGTTCCATCCTCCTCGATGATTCTCGGTGGGGACGTCAGTTGCGGTTTCCAGAATGAGCAGCTTTTGATTGCATGGCTTCCAATTGTTGTGATCCGGTGTTGTTGGGCGAAGGCAGGAAGCAAAAGGTTGAAAAAGTTGTTGATGAGAAGGGGAAGTCGAGAAGGGAAGGAAGGGACTCGGAAGCGAGTGGGGTTGATACGCAATTGGAAGCAACCAGGCAGACGGAGAACTGCTCCTGGGACAATTCAATCCCGAAACACCAAAGAAACGACCGCGAGAGCCGGTCACCAGTTGATCTTGAGGACATGCCGAGCAATAAACTGGAGGGAAAAAAGAAACTTAGTGAAGAAAATGAGGTCCTACTGGGGATCGAACCCAGGTTGTCAGAAGTCTCGAGAAATCAGAATCTGAAGTGATACCGCTACACTATAGAACCCGATGTTGAGCGAGTCTTCTGATTTTGCATCACGACATCTACACCATTGATTTGCTAAAAATGCACAGCCAACTTGCATAAAATATAAGCATCTCTCCGAAGCTGCACCAGGATCTCCCCAATCTTCGACAGGTCCTACTAGGGATCGAACCCAGGTTATCAGAACTCCCACATCTCACATCTGTTTGATCAGAATCTGATGTGATACCGCTACACTATAGAACCACGCTATAATATGCGACTGCAACAAACTGATATACTTTTGCTCTACTTCTGTCCCGAGCTTTCAGAGCCGCGAGCAAAAGTTGATTCCGTCCAGACTTGAACTGGAGACCTTCTGTGTGTTAGACAGATGTGATAACCAGCTACACCACGGAACCGAGCAAGTTCGGTAAGTCGAATAGGCTTCCGGTAACAAACTCTTGCCTGCACGGTAGCGTAAAATCTCGAGCCAAAAGATGGCCTGCAAAAAGTGATTTCGCCCGGGTTCGAACCGGGGACCGCCTGTGTTCAATCCGAGGATGTTAGACAGAAGTGATAACCAACTACACCACGAAACCCAGATGTGAGAAGACGGGACGGTACAATATTTGTCTAACGCACTAAAGTACTCCGTCGGTGCCACACTTTTTCGGGTCCTACCCCCATCCGGCCGCTCTCATCTTCAAGCCCACTTTTGTACAAATACTTAGTATGAATTTACCCGTCCGGAACCAACTGTCCGTCGATCATTACCAGTTGGATCGAAGCCATTTAGTTGCTCAAGAGGAGCTGACAAGTGCGTGAAAGAACTCAGGCTTGTGGGATGCTTCGATTATCGGGCGATAATCAACGCAATGGCCAACCGTCATAGAGTTGTCCCCGGAAATGGAAGGAACCAAAAAGAAACAACAAATGCGGGGTATAGGCAAAACGTTAACAGAAACTTCCTCAACTTTGAGAAGTGCGGGAAGACCCTGAAAGCGAGTGAATGCTCGCCCAACTCGATTGGCAAGGTGAGGATCTATGGAATGACAGAAATCCAGCAACTGACTGAGTTTGAAAGGTCCAGACCACAGCTTTACTGAACGCCGCTCCTTCGTAGCTAGCTGATATGCGCCGTCCGCGGATACGGCATATCAGCACCGCCATTTGCGAAAGTGCGCAGAGAGCAGGCTTTTGGCGCACTTACGTAACATCCTCCGGCACTTTCGCTCAAGGGGTTGCAACCATCTCATCAAAAGGCCTCGGATTATCGCAAGCACTTCCCCCAAGCACGGCACATAGTACTTGGATGAGGATTTGGATGGTGTTCCGGATCTTAGAGTGGAGTCCTTGAAGAGACTGGGAATCGCTCAAGCATGCATTCTCCATCGACCTTAAACCCGATGGATGCAACCAATACTCCGAAAGTGCAAGGGCATTGGAACCCTCAATACCCGGAGTAACCACCTCAACATCAATTCACAAAGAATACCTCCGAGTCTGTGCTGTACATTATTCCCAGCATAAATAGTCCCGTCAACTGCCCTCAAAACCATCACCATCCATCCAACCAACCCCATCATCAGCAACAACAAATCAACGATGGCGCTCTGCATCTCCCCACCAACATCAATCCATACTGCCTACTCTCCCACTACTTATTCCGCAATCCCCATTCTTAGCACCGCCTGTGCCAACTTCAAAACCAACAATGCCGCCTCCCACATCTACAGCACCTTCCGCACCCTCTTCACCAGCCACAGCATGGACCGTACCTTCGGCCTGATCCTTCTCCATCGCCACTTCGATCTGGCGGATGATGAAATGCTGGTCGAGTATAATGGTACTTCCGTCCCCTGGAAGAAAGCGGGGATTTTTGAAGCGAAGCTGCAGGAGCAGGCATGGATCGTGGGGAAGGATGGAAACGTCACGCCTTATGAGTTCGTTTATGCGCCTCGAGAAGTTGTCCAGGTGGATTGGGAGGATAGGAAGGTAGTTGGATTCGTGAAGGCGTTTGCGGATTGCTTGGAGAGACTTGGGCTGGAGGGTGTGCTGGGATTGTGTGCTTATCCCGGAGATGACTTCCAGGGGAGGGTTGAGGTGACGAAAGGGAGGGCTAATATCAGTTTGCACCCAAAAGATGTAAGTGGTCCATTTGTGCTTCTTCTTCAAGTTGAAAGTAATGGATAGAGGTTGAAGACGCTGATGGTTGACGGACTTATAGGCTATGAACGAGGCGGGGACGTATTCGGCAGATGCGGCTTGGTTCTTTGCGCCACCGATCATCATGTTTAAGTGTATCTGCAAGACTGATGACGCTGGTAACCACACTCAACATTGCGATGTTACTTGAAGATGAGATCAAGAAGTCTGGTATTCTGATTATTGATAATCAGTAAGTCGTATCTTTCATGCCACTAGGAACAGAAGCTAACAGCATATTATCAGTCAAATCGGAACCGTTTGTTTCTCAGGCCTTGTGGAATGTAGACTCAATTGAATTGGCTGCATCCTTGGCGAATTTTCTATCTAAAACTTCATTTCAAAAACTCTTATTGGTTTGGCACTCGTCACTGTGCACTTGGCTTTCTCTGTTATTCCGCTTACTTGTTGATCTACAGTATTTGCGTCGAGATGTGTTAAGTAGGTACTAGGATTCAAAGTTCTTTGATACACGATACATCGATAACTACTTATAATTGTTCTTGAAGTACTTCTTATTATGACAATATTGCAATCATTACCTGTGCCGTAAGGACTGCTGAGAGTGAGCTATAAGCTTGGAATGTTGGCCGGCCAAACTCGAAACGGCATTACAATATCGAGACTAGTTTTGTATACTGGTGAAGTTGTCAAAACGCTCAAGATTACGAGGGATCTGCAGACTGCGTTGAGAAGGGAAGCATGTCGTTGGGGCCTACTTCGTTATCAGTCTCACTTAGTCACGTGCAACGGCCACCGCCTTTAACATTCGAGAACAATCAACCCCGAAACTTCCGTCTCACCTCTCCTTCCTCTTCCAAGTACCAACCGCAAACTCAGAACGTTCGAACAGAACACCATCACGACATAGCATTCCACCTGAATACGACTTAAAGTAACGGTATGATGAGGCTCAAAATCTGTTTTTAGCACCTGCTAATGCTCTGGCAGCACCACGTTCCACAAACCCGTCAGCACTAACTCCACGCGGCACGAAGCTGACGGGCGGCTTCCAGAAGCTTTCCTTCCCCAGCGACAAACCCACAACAAACGCAAGAGAACGTGAGTGAGAAGCGTTGACGAATCGATACTGATACGCCACGAGGTGGTGCTAGGATCTATTTCAGGGACCAGGCTTCGTACCGAGCCGAGATGGGCGAGATGAGATGGCCCGGGGAGATATAAGGCGACGGTTTGCTGCTGGTGCCAGGGAGATCAATAGTTCGGTGCAGTGATAGTCTTGTTTCTTCACATTCTTTTAGACCTTTCGACTGCTTTACTTTCGACTTTGTGCTCGGATACCAACTGCAAGCAGTTCCCTTCTTGAGCCGGCCTCGACTATACCTTCTTCTATCCGACCTTCTTCCCCATCATCAGTTCCCAACACCACCTCCACCATGGTTCGTCTCAACCTCCTCCCATTCAGCATCTTGCTCCTCGCCGCATCCACAACCGCAACCACAACCACAACCACCGAGACAGCCTCTTCCAGCACAGAAACCGCCGTCTCCTCCTCCTCTGCTATCACGGCCACCAGTTCAGCGACTATTCCTTCTCCAGCACCAACAGAAGCTATCTTAGCTCCCAACCCAGGCCAACACAACCACGTTGCCAACCTCACCACCGCCCCCAAACCCACCATCGACCTCGACACGATTCGCTCCCTCCTCTCCAAGCTCCCCAAACCCGCCGCAACTCCAGCACCGCCAAAGGAAACGACGGACAATGGCAATATGAGCGCATTCATGCAGCAGCTTAAGCGACTCCTCGAGGAAAAAAAGAAGAAGAACGCTGCTGCAGCCAGCCCTTCTTCCGCGCCAGACAAGCCAGACTTGAAGGCCCTCATTCGCAAACTGCGAGAAGCCACCGAGGCCCGCAAGCAACAAGAACAACAGCCAGCAGACAAGCCCCAAGATCAACAACCCGATACCCTCAAAGTCGATCTCAAGTCCATCCTCGAAAAGCTCCGGGCCCAACAAGCCGAGAACGCCAAAAAAGAAGTCGTCAAGCGCTTCCTCTCAGGCGCCTACCTCGACCCGTATTCCGAACGGGAAGTCGAGAAGAAGGCCGCCGCCTTGGTAATTGATGCTCTTCTGGGTGATCAGGATGGGAGCTACCTTGCTTCTCGTTCTGAAGATGACAGTGACGATGAGGAGGAGTGGTTGCAGGCGAGAGCTGCGGAGTATGGAGATGAGGATGAGGAGGAGGATCAGGACTCGGGGCTTGATGCTCGCTCTGAGGACGACGACGGTTTTGACGATGATGCTGATGAGGAGGAGGAGGCTTCGATTAATGCTCGTTCACCCGACGATGATGATGATAAGGATGAGAAGAAGGATGACAAGAAGGACGAGAACGACGATGATGACGACTCCATCTCCTTCAAATCCACCATCAAAGAAGCCTGGTCCGCCGCCAAAACAGCCCTCTCACTCGGCAAGCGAGGCAACGAAGATCCAGATGCCATCGACGACGAGGCCGATGATGAAGATGAAGATGGAGGCGAGAAGAAGGCGAATGGATCATGGTTTGCGAATGCAAAGCGAGATTTGCTGGATCTAGTGAATGTCGATTAGTACTAAGTAGGCGTAGGCGAGGATGTGGAGTAGCTAGCTGTGTATAGATGAGATACCCATAGAATGGATTGTATATGATTTTTCCCCCCCATCAAGCCTAGTCGATTCCGCATTCAGTCACGGTGAACAGTCAGAATAGAAACAGTGTGTGCCCTCCAATAAGTTTAGATTTCGGAATATCTCCCCCTATCCCCAGCTAGACATTGATATCGTGCCCAGATGTCCCTTCTTGATCCAACGTTGCAACCATGATCTAGCAGCAGTACCACTTGGCCTTGTCGAGCGTCCGTGCCTGCCCTACTAGTACCATGATAAACTCCCCCGGTATATCGGCCAACTGCCCTATCTATTACAGTATGATACCTGCACCGTAATCAGGCCCACACAATAGCTCCAAGCCCGAGAATGCAAGCTCCGAGTCGTAAATCATAAACGAGAAAGCATCGCTAAACAAACAGGGATGGGAGCCAAATCAAAACCAGACTGAGTCGAAACCCGTAAAACAAAAACGCCAGCAAGACTCCTCCAATGTATGAATCAGACCTAGCCCCAATCGTGACATGAAGCTGCAAAATTGACCGAGGGGCAAGAGGGTAAAAATGGGGCCTCTTAAGCGAGTGCAGACAGCGCAGACATGCATGGTGAGAAGGAATGCACTTAAGGACCTCGTATTCGGCCCAACTCCGGAGACAAAGAAAGGAGGTGAAAGAACCAATGGAATAAATGTGAAGGCAAAGGGAATAAATTCATAGAGAACATTGCGCCGTACAGAATAGTAGTATAAAGAGAGTACCTTTGAGCGGCTCGAAGAAGATTGAAGTCAAGATACGAGAATGAGAAAGTGGAAGTGGAAGGATAATCAATAGCAAGGCTTTTCCGGCAACCTAAGTGAGAGGATCACGAAAGAATACACAACCTAGAATGGAAAGCTATAAGCAGAACAATAGACCCACTAATAACATCTCTCCAATGCCGGGTGTCGGAGCATGATTAAAGGAACGCTAAAGAGCAGACAAGGATGTTATGACAGATGCACGTATGCGAAGAATCCAATGAAAGAAGAAAAAGAGTGATCAAGATTAAAGCCGCAGAGGAAGTACGTCTAAAGCATAAAGTGAAAGCAATACCAACGAACGGGCCCAACAGTACGTATGCCCAGCCTCCTCCATGCCAAAAACATCCACCTCATAAACGTCGCTCATAATCATAACCCAACATCGCCGATATCCACCATATCCCTGGACCGATCCCAAGACCTTCAGACTCCCAATGGAAAACAAAAAAAGACAATGAAAACACCAAACTCCCATCCCGAAATAAACGAAACAAATACTAAGCCACTGGGCACACCCATCTATCAATCAATCCCTACGTCTCATCCTCCGAGTACCCCTTCATACTCCTCCACTTTTCAGGCCATGACCCTCGTTCATCCATATGCCATTCTCTCTCGTCGTCGCGCCACTTGGGATCCCCTCTGTCAGGCCATTCAAGATGCTCAAACGGCTTTGCTGATTCACCCGTACCAGACGGCTTACCATCTTGTCCAAGTGCCCACATGACCCACGCAACATGAAGATGTACCAGCTCTCTCGCCGCCATGGCATCTTCAAAACTGTCATGGCCTCTTTTGCCTCCCTCACCACGCTGAATCTCTCGCTTCAAAAACCGCATATACACCAGTTTCTTGAGAGACAGGCCCCAGTCGTCACGCTGATGGATGATGGGGAGATGAGAGTTATCGCAACCGTCAAAGCCGAGGCCAGAGTAGCCGCCTGTTGTGGGGTAATCTCTTGCTCTGGGAGTAGGTGGTGGTGGCGGGGGTGTGAGGGTATCGGATGAATCGGCTTCGATTTTGTCTTGAAGGTCCTCCAACATTGCTCTTCGAAGCTTGAACTCCGTCACATAACTGTCCACGACATTGAGATGAATCATCTTCAAAGCATTCAAGTCTCCCTTTCCTCCATGCATGACGAGGACGGTATCCGGTGTCATAAACTTCCAGAGCATCTCCCTGGCTGCCTTCCAACCTCCCACAATGGCAGTGCCAGCCTTGACGGCCTCGTCCATCATCTCCTTCGTAACGCCTGAATACCCTGTTCTCCAATCGACAATCGCGACAGGAGATGGATCGACAAGCTTATCGATGATCGGGACACCAGCAAAGTAATCGACAGCGGTGAGACGAATGAGCTCATCTTCTCCTGTTTCAGACTCTGCCATTTCGCAATCGATGGCGATGACACGGTGGGCCGCAAGAAGGGCGACGCGAGGATCCTGGCTGGCCTTTCGTTCGGCGTCGGTTGGAGTTGAAAGGAAGTCGGGATGGAGGGAGGATTTGGTTGTGACGTATCCAACAGAAGCGAGTTCGTGAACTGGAGCAATGAGATGGCGGAGAGTCGACATGTAGGCCGGAGAACGCTTGATATTTGCCCACCAGAGCCGTTTCTTGTCGAATGTAAGCGTTGAGGGATGCCTTGGGGGTTTGGGGAGGTTTGACTTTAGCGATAAGGAGACCTTCTTCTTGGGTGGGCCTTCCTTGGGTTCTGACTTGAGCTGCTCCTTGACGTGTTCGGTCTGCACCGGTGTTGGGCATTCGGAAGTGGACGGGTATTCAGGTGTGTATGGGTAGTAGTTCTGGCCCGAAGGAAAGTAACCGTTGGAGCTTGCATGACTTGGACCAAACCCAGGCGGAGGAGCAACACTCGGCGTCATTGTACCAGCCATTGCCAAACCCATTGGCGACTGTGAAAGTCCAGGAGGTAGCCGAGCAATCTGCCCTCGATAAAGGCCACCTCCCATTAACGTCATCTTTTGCGGAAGCATTGTCTGATGCTGGTGTGGATCCTGCTGCCAATTGTGACCTTGGCCTTGTGCCTGCATTTTAGACTGATCTTCATGGCAAGTGGACAGCATTTGCTGCTGCTGTTGGTACCGTATTTGACCTTGGTAGATGTGATCTTGGGTTCGTGAAGGAGGTAGATCCGAATTCTGCCGTGCTTGGTGAGGAATCCCTGGAGGTGCGCTCGGTGCTGGTAGCCCACTAGTCCGAGAAGTAGAAACATGCGTTGTCGATCCCGTCTCTATCGTCCCACTACCCTGACCCGTCTGTCTCGATGCTGTCGATACCGGAGATGTCGAAGCTTCCGTAGGTGTCTGAGCCATCGTCTGACAATCCTTCAACGGGCTTGGATTCTGTTGCTGTGGCATCGAAACGGAAACCGACCTTGGAGCACCCGAAGCATAAGTCGAGACTCTATTCCCACTGTACTGCTGTCTGCTTCCTTGACGTTGCGGACCGGGAGTAGGCGGACTCGGATGCCCATGTGGATGGCCACTCGACCCAGCCGATAGCGCCGCTTCTCTCTGTATCGGTGACGGTGGACAACCCTTTCCTCTCTCACTGTCTGGCCCAGGACTCGGATTCGGAGTCGGAAGTGCACCAGGTCCATTGTGGCTGCCATTGGTATTGCAAGAGACTCCTCGATTCGGCACCGGAGCTGCAATGCCATTCGTCCCATTCCCCAGCTGCCTCACACCATTCCCTCCGTTCCCTCCATTCTGCCCATTGTGTCTCACTCCTCGATCCACAAACCCCACACCCTGCTGACCTTGCTGACCTAGCTGGCCTTGCTGACGTTGCCTCCCATTTTGCAGATGGTATCCTTGGTGTTGATTCCTATTATAGTGTTGATTGTGATGAACAAAGAATTCCCGTCGTCCGTTGTTGTGGTTGTATTTGTGGTTATTGTTGTTATAGCCTTGTCCTCGGCCGTTGGGCGCTGATCGGTCATAACCGCGAGGATTGAAGTTGTTGTTCTGATATAGAGGCCCTGATCGGGGACCACCATTCCGGGTGTGATTCTGGCCGAAGCCGTGGTGGTTTTGATTTTGATGTTGGGGGTGGTTTGTCGACATTGTGAGGTCGTTGCCGGATGCCGATAATGATGATGGTGATGAGGCGTGTGTGGCTTGTGAGGCTTGTGAGGCTGGTGACGTTGTAGAAGAAGATATCGAAGATTGTGTAGAAGATACTGACGATAAACTCTTTAAAAGTGTTGGTGTTGAGGATGAAGATGATGTTTTTTGGAGTTTTTGTTGATGTTGATCTTCTGCCGACGTGGCCGAAATGCTTGTAGAGATGGATGTAGTGGGGATGGCCATCTCGAGGCTTCATACTAGTATTTCGTTAAGAAATCGAAGAGATGGCCTTTGGGAAGGAGAGCGGGGCGCGGAGCTGAAGTCTCGTAAGTGGCGAGTGGAAGGGTGGCCTTGTGCTTCGCTGTACTCGTCGGTAAATATTTTTGTACTGCGTTTGCTTGCCGAGCTCTCTGGCATCCGGTGGTATTTCCGGGGGGCTCTAAATTTCGGCAGAGCGAATATGTGGAGTAAACGTCTCATTCGTGCCCGTGATTGGTCAGAAGCTGGCCTCGTAGAAGGTGGCTAGGACAGAAAAGTAAGATTGTACGCGGCCTCAGATTAGATCGATGAGATGCCCAGCCACGGTTAAGCAAGCTTGAGGGTTGCGGACACTTGACGGTGAACGTTTTAAATACTTACAATTTCGATTTGAGTTTCATTATTGGAGCAAGTGGGTCAGTGATTTTAGCAGACCTTTGTAAAGTGTGGATAATGCCGAGTTGCAGATGCATCATGATGGGGCCGGTATGGTAACCCGAGGAATTAGAAGAAGACCGGTACCGAAGCAGACTTCGGTTATTACCAGAATTACAGAGCTTGACCTTCTGAACCCCCATATCATCCGTCTCATTAAGTACTGAGTCAAAATGTAATACTGTTCATGAATATCCTCAGACACAAGGGGACCGATATGCTGCCAGTAGTATACCCACCGAGAGCGGCCGAGTCGTACCAATCTCCCTATTACCAAAGCCGAAAGGAATTTCAAAAGCACAGCTGCTATGGCATAGGACTTCATGATATGAACATCACTCGCATGCAAGTCGCAATCATCAGGATGGCTAGTCTAAGTAGGCATTTGCAAAACCACTCTGATAGCTTGGCTTCTATTTACATTCGTGCTCGAAGCATGACATTCACTCCATGAGATGCGATGCGTATGACTCGAA